AACAGATATCGTATAGAGCCTCATTATCAATACAGTAAGTCTCGTCTGTATTTTCTACCAGTTGATGAACTGAGAGGGTAGCGTTGTAAGGTTCAACAACAGTATCAGATACCTGAAATTAAAAGAAAATTGTGAAAATATGTGTGTAATGTTCGAACCAAGATATTTGTGTTGGAAGGCAAGACAAGATGAAGGAAAAAATTAAAGATCCTGTTATTGGTGGGGAATCAACCGTAACTAGGTAGAATGGCGCTAACGTCCTTCCTAAACCTGTCAATATGGGCACTCTATATATCATTTTAGCTGTATGAACTCTAAAAGATTACACACCAGTAAGACGTAAATATCTATCACGAGAACATAAGGATCTTTAGTTCTAATAATATCTTACCTTTGGTGAAGGACAAACAGAGAAAGTGTTCATGATTCTATCTGGATATTCTTCACGGATTTTACTGATGAGGAGGGTTCCCATACCAGAACCAGTTCCACCACCCAGAGAATGGGTCAACTGGAATCCTTGAAGACAATCACAGCTTTCAGCTTCTTTACGGACCACATCAAGAACGGAATCTACCAATTCAGCACCTTCTGTATAATGACCTTTAGCCCAGTTATTACCAGCACCAGATTGTCCAAAGACAAAGTTATCTGGTCGAAAGATCTGACCAAAGGGTCCTGACCGCACAGAATCCATGGTACCAGGTTCCAAGTCGACGAGAACAGCTCTAGGTACATATTTACCACCGGTAGCTTCATTATAATAAACGTTGATTCTCTCCAACTGAAGATCAGAATCACCGTGGTAAGTTCCAGTTGGGTCAATACCATGTTCATCAGAGATCACTTCCCAGAACTGAAACAAAAGATAACTGATTTTACTAAATTTTTTAGGAACTAAAAAAAAATATAAGACTTCGTGGCCAGCAGAAACAGTAGCGTATTTAGCCTCTTGCAGCCCCGTAGTCCTTCAGACAGACACTCCTCTCCGTTTTGACCTCCCCCTCAGGCATTTTCTTTTCTGATACGTTCTTTTATAGATTGAATCTTCACATTGAACATGATGATCTATCAGAATATAAAACGAGTTAATTACCTTAGCTCCGATCTGGTTACCACATTGACCAGTTTGCATATGAACGATTTCTCTCATGTTGAAGGTTGTGAGAACTGACTAGAGTCTTGAAGTGAAGTGTGGTTGAAAGTAGAATGATTTGGTTGAGATTTGTCACCGTTTTTTATCAGACTAGGTTGCCATAAACAATTATAATTGACTTCGCTCATATCGACTATTTCTTTTATCACTTATGATCTAATTCGATAATCCAACTAGTTCGATAATCGATAATGCTGTTACACTAATTTCTGTAAAATCTCTGTCAAGATTACTGAACAAGTCGTTAATGACATTAGCAAATACCTGATTAAGAGTAGCCATTTTTAGAAAAACGTCCATGTTTATTGAGGATGATAATTAGATTTCAACACCGAAAACCGTCAAACATTAACTGCTCTCCTTTGGGACTTAGATGCAATTATATTCCGATCAGTATATTTTTGATTATTCAGGACAGATCAGTAGAGCCTTTAAATAATTTTTAACAAATCATATGAATATTTAATGATAGAGTTATATACCGGTATATCATTAGAATGTTCAAATA